TTACTTTTAATTTAGGAAAATCAGAAAAAAATATTTTAAGGAGTCTCAAATGATTAGAGAAAAATTGCAAACATTTTGAACTATTTTTTGTATTTTTGAGAATTTTGATTATTTTAATTATTTTTAATTCAAAATATACTTTAAAAATAAAATATTTTCACAAAAAATAAATTTATTTTTATTAAATTCCCCTGATCACAAGGAACTTAGAAAACTATTTTTATAATCTTTTCTTAGCTTGTTTAATTTAATATAATTTATTTTGTGCAAAAATATCATTTTTACTTACAAAATCCACTTTAATAGTCAAATCAACTTAAATAAATTTGAAGATTTTACATTGAATTTGAAATGATTTTTATGAACAGTGTGGAATTAATTTTAAAATTTTTTTTATTTATATTTAACTTAAATAAATTAATACAAGGTAAAAATGTTTAATTAATAACAGAAATACACAAAATTTTTCAAACCATCACAATTTTTTTCCTAAGCTTCTCTGACCACAGAAAATCTAACAAAATTAATCCCATAATTTTTTAAGGATTATTTTAATTTATATGAATAAATAAAGTCAAAATAGCCACTTAGGCTTGAAAATTAGGGTTAGAAGCACATATGTGCTCTTTGGAAAAATCAGAGGAGGTGCCCTCTATGATGAGGAATCAACACTAAAAATTTCAAGCCAATGTAATTATTATTTAATCATAATAAATTAAACTACCTTAGAAAGTATTTAATTAATTAAAAATCATATACTTGGCAAATATTTTTTTTTATTTTTGGTCCACATTATTCTCCTCTGTTCACTGAGCAAGAGGGTATTTTTATTTTATTTTAATAATTTTTCTAGAGAAAGATATGAATTTTTGAAGATTATGCACTGAAATAAATCCAAAAAATCCATATTTTTCTACTTAAACACGCGACACCACCTCATCCTACGACAACTTCGAGGTCACACGAGGCGCTCCGCCATTTGACACTATCATCCACCTCAGCTGCCATGCGGCCCGCCTTTTCACACAGAAGGTTCGTCTGGCTCGATCTCCTCTGTCCATCTGATACACGCGCGATCATACGACTCTCAGTCATCGTCTCCAAGTGACCTAACACGTAATACGTTCACACTAAAACCTTAAGATCTTCATCTAGACTCAACCAAATCACATGGGGTTTATATATAAAACTTCATCTACTCAAGAGGCGTCTATCCATATGGTTGATCAAACATGAAATCAAACCATTACACTTGGAGAATCAAAAGAAGCTCAGGTTAGGGTTAGAGCTCAATACCTTTGTCTGAGAGGGGAGGCCTCAATCAGATGGTTGTGGTAGCTTCGATTGGGTCCAACGAACCTCCAAATGATGTCTCAAGCCCTGGTGAATTTTCTAGCTATGATTTTGATCAAATTGGATTTCAGGTATTGGTCTAGAGCTAAGCTAGAGGCTATTTGAGAGGGGGCTTTTGTGTGGAATCAACTTTTCTCACCGTGAGGATGGTGTGTGCATAGTTAATTGAAGTTTGGTGGACTATGGAGGTATGGGGAGCTCTTGGTGGTGAGATGTCTTGGTCTGAGCTGAAAGTTTTGAGCTCAAAATTGGGCTCTGACAGTGGGAATCAGAGGAGGAAGATGGTTGGATTATGCTTAGGGATGCTTGGAGAGTCTCTGGTGAGATTTTTGCAGAGTTTCCCCAAGGATTTTGGCACACCTCTCTTTGGTCGTGGAGTGGTCAATTTAAAGCCATGGCTGTCTGATGGAGCTCAGGGGGTTTGATGGGTTCTTGCTGATGTGGAGGGAAGAAAAGCTCAAGTGGCCAATGGGACTTAGCCAACTCAGAGGGTTTAATTTTGAGTTTTGACCAATGGGGCCACCTTTGGGCTGGTTGTTTCCTGCGGCTGAGGTGGCTGGCTGGCTAGGGTATGGTCACTTCTTGGCTCAGGGAGGCTAGGGGGTGCTTAATGATGATTAAATCTTAATGGTATGTCATGATGGAAAAGATATTTTGGCTTAGACCAAAAAATGGGATGAAATCCCTTAATTTAGGGAACCATTGGTCCATCGAATACCTTGTCTAGTTTAGGTGGGTTTAGGTTGGTCACTAAAGTGTACTTGGTGGCTATCGTGTCATTAATTTGGTCATTTGGGCATGACTAAGTCAATTTTGGTGCATGGGTTCAATTTGAGTCAAATTGGCTTGAAGTTGGGTTTGGGTTGGGCTATCCATGCCATTGAGCCCAATTAATTGATCAATTTGGTTTAGATGATTGTCATGAAGGGTTTAGAAAATTTTTAAAGTGATTTTGAATTGATTTGGAGGTTCAATTTGAGGGATTTTGGGTATGTGGTCAATTTAGGGGTGTTGGGTTAGACTTGGGCTTAGGTTGGGCTAGAATTGGCTTAAGTCCAAATTGATGGTTGAAAATGATCTAGAGAAATATCATGAAGAGTTATCAACATTAATTGAGTGTCAATTTTGAGGTTTGGGTATTCAATTGGGTGACATTTGAAGACATGGCCAAATTGGGGCAAATTTCGGGATTTTGGTTTGGGTTAAAATTGGGTGAAATTGAAGCTTGAACAAGGTCAACTGAGGGTTCAATTTGATGTGTGGAATTGTTTTGAAGAGTTTATGATGCAACTTGAGGCAATTGAGTGGGCTATGGGGTCCAATTGGGTGAGATTGGGAGAGTGTGTCGAATGGTTAAAAATGTCGGTTTTGGTTTGGATCAAAATTGAGCTCAAAGCATGGGCCAAATAAGCTTGAATTTGGTTTGAAATGATCATAGGCACAATAGATCATAGACACGGTAAATTTGAGTTTAGAATTGAAATTGGGGGAAATTGGGGTCAAATTGATGAACATTTAGGGTGAATTTGGGGAAATTGGGCCCTTAAGGGCAATTTGGGGCTTTTAGTCAAATATGTCAAATTGGTCAAATTGAGCTCAATGGGAGGGCTCAAATTGGTTTTGAAGATATTTGAAATGATTTTGGAGGTTTTGGGAAAGTTTGGGTCATCAAGGGTGTTTTGGTAATTTTGGTCAATTTGAGGGTATTTTGGTAATTTTGGAAATTTTAGGTGGTTTTGGGCAATTTGAGTATTTTTAAATGGTTTGAAATGATTTTTGAACAAATTTGGGTATTTTGGGTGAAGTTGGGAAGTTTGGCCAAATTTAGGGTTTGGGCGTATTTTGGTAAGTTGGGTATGTTTGTGGGGCAAAAGGCTAAGTTAGGGGTTTTGGTGAAATTGAGGTGCCAACCACCCTATTTGAGCCATGAAACAATGGAATCCTCTACTTTGGGCCCTTCATGTACTGATCTTAGCTTGACCTTGGCCTAGGGCTAGTGGGTCTAGGGGACCATCTACATGAGTCTTCCAAAGATCAAGGGATCAAAGTCAACAAAATTTGGGTTTAGTGCTGTGAGTGAAAGTGAACGAAACGACTCCAGAACAACACGCAGGGTCAACCTTAAGATAAACCTCAACCAAAAGTGAGGTCAACAGTGAGTTTGTGTGTTGAATTCAAAACTATATTTATTTGAGATAAGTGTGTGGGTATGATGATAGAAGGACGATTGACGATTTTTTGAGGAGATAGGTAGACTGGAGAGAGTATGAGAGAGAAGAGTAGATGTGGGTGTCGGCACTATTTTTGGTGTGGGGTT